AATCTTCCGTACAGTGTAAGCATTAATTTTAATGATTGGGATAGTGTAGCGCATTATTTAATAACTGAGTGATTTTTACTTACAGGTATACATCGCACACGTCGATTTTATTGTCATAGACTTTTGTGTATAAAAAAAAAAAAATGATACGAAAATTTATTATTTACACAACTATAATATGTGACATGTGTTACTGAATGATATTGTCGATGTTGGTAAGTACCAGTATGAGCAATTTGGCCGTACCATAGTATTTATAATTCATAATCGCCGCTTATATCATATTATATTGACATGCCTATATTTCCAACCCTTCTACATCAATTAATTCAATTTATAAATCAAAAAAATAATGTCAATATTCTCTTCCTTATTTTTTTTATTATTTCTTCTTCAGTGAAATATGTAAATTATTAATTGTTTACGACTGATTTCTTAAATTTTATTATTAATTTATATTTTCCATATACCTACTTCATAAATTGTATGTATATTATACCTTATATATGACTAAATTACCACCCACTAATTCAATCATGGCGAACAGTTAGTAGTCATAATTTAGTATTAAAATAATAATATAACGTAGACTATACACGTTGAAAATATTCTATTTATTTGATTTTAATACCAAACGTAATAAAATACATTATATAACGAGTAAACGTCTTCAACATGTAATTCCTGTTTTACGTTGTCATTTTAAAAATATTCATCCTAGTCCAAATGTAAATAATAACATCATCTTTTACCAGTTTCTCACTAATCGAATGATAATTTACATAAATGCGAATCCACTTTTACGTGTTTCACTGAAAGAATAATGGCCGCAAAAGTGGTCAATTAACTTTTTATTCACAATATACATAAATGCGAATATCGCGCGAACAGCAGTTTTAGCCTTACTATGTATAATTAATTGTGAATTAATTTAATATGTTAAATTAATAGTATTTTTCTATTTAGCGTTGTCCGGTTTATTTCTATTTTATGTTTACAGTAAGTTATTGTTGCAATATAAATAAATAATAAAATTATAAAAAACAGAAGAAAAAAAATTTTCATAATATACCTGCCCACAATTTGAAGCTGTTAAAATTTTACAAAAACGTTTGATACTATTTACTATATTTGTATTAAATTTATAGAGTTAATAGGTACGTTAATATAATGAATTAAATTTAATTTAATACTATAACTTATAATTATATTTTAATATGTATAATAACATTGATTATAAATACATTTTAATCAATGATAATACATTACTAGGTATATGATACATAAACAACAAAATATAATACAAGATCGAAATCTTTTCGAAAATTACCCAGGAATGTTTAACAGACAACCAATTTGGTCATTTAAAATATTTTTACTATAAATACAATTTTTTTTTTTATTAAAATACAGTATATCATATATATTTTATTGTAAAATTAAAATATCGATGACATTTTTTAATATTTAAACCTGTAATGGCACCAAAGAAGGATACAGGTGAGTTATTGCAGTTATTGCTCTCCATGAAAATCCTTGGCCTCCCTGAAATTTTATGAAAATTGAAATTTTTAAAATTTACATATTATTTAATATTTTCCATTGTCTTTTATTAGTATGTGTACGAGGATAAAATATAAAATCATAATATGAAACACAATAAGTGATTTTCTCATTTATCTATGAATATAGTATACGTATGATGTAATTGTTATCGTGTCGTTTGTTATGAACATAATAATACGAGGATAATTTACTTGAATTTCATCTATTATTGTATATACGTATACTCGTACGTCATAAATTCTAACCAAAAGATTTATTTATAGAAACTTCATGAATTGTGTATGTCCTAGAAGTTAACCACATGACTTTGTCCAATTATTGATTTTAAAAATGTGCTGATAATTTAAAAAATAACTTCAAATAATTAGATTTTAGAACTTTTCAAATGAAATATATTAATAATATGTTCAAAATCCCATTTCTGAAGAACAAACAAAATTGTAAAATTCATCAAAAAATATATTTATATTGATTCGAAAATTATAAAACTAATTTACAATTTATTAGCAAAATATTGGCAATTTTTTTAAATCTATCGGATTTACATTAATTAAAAGTTGCGTATAAGATTTTAACATGGTAGTCAAAAACTTGAAACGACCAACTGGTTTCTACAACGTTAGACGCGACTCAAACTTGTGTAGATATAACTTGAATTTACAAATGAACATTATTGAAATTTAAAGTATTGTATATTTATTTATTGTATTTACTTACAAGAAACTTATCTTATTTACTTGTTATTTATTAAAAAAAACTTGTGAGTTATAATGCTCGTTTAAGTCTTTTTACCTATATATAATGAAATATATTGATTCGATGACGACTGACAAATGATGACAATTGTTTTGGTTCAAGAAATTACAAATTATTATTATACAAACTGAGTGTAACCGATTTTTAATTTTTTTTTTTTTTTCATTACCTTGACTTTTTTAGTGAACTTGACTATTAAACGGTACAAGTATGATGTAATATTATAATAATATACCCTACTCAATCACTAATTTTATGTGCAAAAAAATTGCAATTCGATCATTTATGTTTATATATTTTTCGATGTTATATACTAAATAATATTGCAAGTCAATAAAATAAAATATTGTGGCTGTAGAAAAAGTGCGTGGGTTTAATTATGATAAATTATCCTCAAGTTGTTGAGTGAGTCACTTTAAATAAATAAATATCAAATAATAAAATAATATACGTCACTTGACTACATAAAATAAGTAAATAAAAAAGTTATTATTATTTATTATTATCAAAACACAAGTACCCACCTCACTACACCCATAATAAAGTCGCTGTACTAAAGTCACTAAAATATATATAGCTACCTACAATAATAGATCACGATAAAAATAATAATTAACGCAGTTTAATTTAAAATTGTTATTCGCAAACAGGTCGGGCGTTGTACTTTGGTCATACTTAAAAGCAGCCAACCGAAATGGAAAATATTTCGAGAAAAACTGTTTATTTTCAAAACATTGCATCTAATCGCTGTATATGTTCGTACAATACTTATACATTTTTTGAATAGTACCAATCACGTTGTCATCCGTCGGCAATAATCATATAGACATCACGTCGTGCGTACAATGTGTGCAGTGTGTGCATACTCGCGCGCATACTCCATACGGAATTCAGAGGACAGAACATTTTTTTAGATGGCACACGATCAAAATCCCGAAATAACGCTTTTTAGAAGAATAACAATTTCATACAAGTAGGAATTACTAGTAGTAGTCATATTTACTGTTTAACTATGTGACAAGCATCCTGCAATTTTATCGATCGCATAGTATAGGTAAGCATATAATATATCCCACGGGCATAGTCTGCGTACGCCGATGACGACGATAGGTCTGCGCGTAGTATCATCGAAGTATAATAAACCCATAATAGGTGCCACCGCCGTAACGACGTACTATAATAATATATTATTATATTATTTATATATTATCATAAAACCAACCGACTGCAGCCTATAATACACGTGCGCACGACTACCTGTAGAATTCCATGACATTGAGTCGGTGTCGCGCAAATTCACACACACACACACACATGTGCGTGTTCATCCAATGACCGGTTGAACGTTTGCCAAAGCGAAGTCTGCAGCGTATACGTGCGAGTTGATAACGATCGTACGAGACTGGCAAACGGTTTAATAATAATAATAATGTTCGCGGGCCAGTAGAATTTTACGATTTTACTCGGAGTACGCATATAATATATAGCGTATATTCATATTATTATGAATTTAGCCTTTTCGCGGGCAACGATCAAATGGTTAGGGGTCGGCCCGGTCAAATGGGTATTGGGTTTCGTCGAGGCGTCCAACTGGTTTCGCACGGGAGGTTTGTGCGCGTGCGTTCGCGTTTTTTGGCATGCACACTTTAAAAAATATCTCGTCGGATAGCACTTGGATAATACGCGACGTTTGAATGTACGAAAACTATAATTGCGAATAAACGCCGACAAACTCCCGTCGCGTTCACCGCGAGTCGACGTTGAAGACGACGGACACTGCAAGCCAGTAAATTTTAATTTCCAGCTATAATATTATTATATACCTAATAGTAGGTATGCGTTACTTCGCGTTTTATTTAAAAAGAAAAAAAAATTAAAAAAATATTAGTAAAAAAAAATAATTGATCGGTGGGTACAAATATCCCAGATAAGTTTTACTATACCGATATAGACACCCCGACGACTAGAAAGAAACGATATACATATATTTTAGAGGCAGGGGTCACTTTGAAAACCTATAACCAGCTATTTATATTATAATATAATCCAACTTCAATCGTTAATTTATTTATTCATTTATTTTATTTTTTTTTTTTTACTTTTGACTTCGCCGAATCAAAAATTAATCATCGACTGGTCCAACCTTGGTCGTTTAACATTCATCTAGTTGTATACGCATAGCATATACGTATTTCTATACTATACATTTTATACAACTTCAGCGGCTATTAATATTATAATTTTACAAATAATTGTTACGAAACAGCCAACCGGGATGGGCCGTCATTACACAATAATATTATTATTTTTATTATTATTATTATTATTATTATTATAACTAACTGTCCACCGTATAATATTAGGTATATGCGTATTACTTTATACTACAGTCTGATGCGAGGTTTACATTAATGCTTACTGCACAACACGCACGTCAACGTCTGTCACCGGACTTGCATTTTACCACGAATAATTACCTATTAAAATGCCGATCGAATATTCATGAATATATGCTACGCACGTGTGATGAATACGCAGTGTGATCAAACTCGGTAAACGTTCGGTGGGACGCTGGGACTGCGTCGACATTTTGAGTAGGTACCTATTCAACGTTTTTCGACATATTTTTGTTAGGAAAAATATTTAAGACAGGAACAGTAAAGTGTATTAACGTTTAATGTCACACATCCATACTTTTCACTTTAGTGTTTTTATTGGCGAGACTACCACAGTTAGACGACTTTTGATTTTCTTAAATACAAAACTTTAAACTATTGCTTTTTTCCTCCGTATGTGTATAGTCTGGCGCGTAATTCAAAATAATATGGTTTTTATTTAAATATATTTAAATGTTAACTAAAAAACACAAGCCAGGTAAAATTCAATATTTTTGTTTTGTTTTTCTATTTTATTTTATCAACTAACTCTATTGAAAATAATATATTGGGTCGTATAAAATTATTAGATAATTATTAGATTAGCGTTTCTTAAAATTTTATCTGTGGAACCCTTTTTGATGTCCTCTTTTACCGTGGAACCTCTAGTTTTTTTATTTTATCTTTTTAACTTTTTTTTAAGTTTATTTACAGAAAAAACTTGTATTATTTCATATAATAATTATACAATAGAGTATAGAGTCTATACTATAGAGTATATAGACTATACCACACACATTATTATTAAATATGCAAACATTTTTTCCCCCACTAGCCACTACTAATCTTTAGTTAAATATTTTAAAGACATTTTTTTGAAAATTTTGAAAAAATTTACTTAATCCTCACGGAATCCTTAAGTGATCCCTGCGGAACCCAATATTTCCACAGAACACAGTTTAAGAAACGCTATATTTGATATTATGAGTTAATTTTAAATAAAAGTTATGCTTTTTAAAACAACGAGTGTTTAGTATTAAAATATTTGTTATGTGCACAAAATATTTACGTATACGCGTGTGCTTTTATCGGCTAAGCAACACGAGTAGTTAACCTTTAACTCTCGGTATATTTTCGCTGACATTTTTTCCGCAACATAATGAAAAGAAGCTGCAGAAAACTTATCCATAATTCATAAATTATACTTTAAAATAATTATATTACTAACGTAATAATATTGTCAGTTAGTAAAATTAATATTATTTTTTTTTCAACGTGGCCATTATAATGTTATTAAACATATTCACTGTGCGCATAATCTTAAATAATAATACGAGTATTATGATAATATTATACTTGCAATCTGGTTACTGTGAACATTATCTTCAGGTTCCATGTTATAATAATGTCGCAATAAAATAAAAAGAGAACTTCCCGAAATGGAATAAAGAGTCAGCATAATTGTTTTAACTGTGTGTTAAATTCTCACCATCCACCAATCTGGGTTTTTATTAATGACTAGAAAAAATAAGAAAGTTGAAATAATTTCAAAATAAAACAATATACTGATTGTTTACAACGACAATAAAAAAACAACGATTCTGTAATTTAATAGAAAAAAAAATGTGATAATTTTTAAAATAAATCAAATGATCATCATATTTACGTGGAAAATATCGTTTTCAATTTAAGCTATATAACTAAATTCAAAACAGATAATGTCACTAATGGATGGCTTTTTCCTTCAAAAGCCTCGCGTGTAACTCTTCTTCTCACATTCGCTTATTGTTCTAAATTTAAATAGATTATAAGTACATTATTTATTATATTTTGTTAGTTATCACATTCTAGCTTCACGGTAAACATAAAAATAGACAAATCATTTTCATTCCAAAATATTTAAATTAAAATATTGAATTGAAAAATATTATACTATCATGTAAAGGATTAGATATATAAATTTAAATTTAATTAATATGAACACAGCGCGCAGTCTAAACGAACATATTATTTCTTAAAGGCTAATTGACAATATTTTGTTTTTATTTTTTCGTCGTATTGAGTATTAGTTACATAATATGTGAGTATATTTCTTATTCGTTGTAAATGTTAATTAAAAATACATTACCCGAAATTATTTTTAATCTGTTACCATAGAGGCGGGTTTTTTTTTTTTTATTATTACATCCGTTATCGGATATTTGAACTAATCGAGTCAAATTAATCAAAACTAATTTAAATTAATCGAATCTAGAGTATAAAATAGCTATATATCAATTAAATGTTATTCGTAAGATCGGATACGTGTAACATATGTATACATACCTAATGTCATAACATGTTCGTAAGAGATCGGAATGTAATTTTTTAAACGAAAAAAATCAGAAATCAAAATAGAACAACATATTCTGATAACAATTGTTATAACTTATAACTTTAAAATCACTAAAATCGTCGGTTTTTATATACATATAAAGTTAAGATAAAATGTTTTAAAAAATAATTGAATTTAGAAATCAATTATTCTAGGTCACGTATTACATTGTATTACTCAGCTAGTAAATTTATTTTCTATCATCAATCACGAACTTGGTAAAATTTACAATATTTGCTTAACAATATTCAATGTCAAACGTCACCTTAATGGAAAATATAATGGTTATCATAAATACGCATGTAGGTAATAATACCTATACGTATAATATTCTACTTTATACATACGCTTATGTATTACACACGAAAGGTACATTATTGTACATTTTATGAATAGTGCAAATATTATTAATGTCAGAATAATAGATGTTAATAATAAAATATTATCATAGTCATCTAGGAAGTTATCTAGGTAAGTCATTAAATTGCGTATGATCGTTTTTGGTTTATAATGCAAAAAACAAATTTAACCGTCAGCCGAACAAAGGTTAAAATCAAAATTAATTAATTTCGACGTTTGACAATTAATATATATATATTATTATTATTATTATTATTATGTACGTTTGTTGCGTAAATGATTTACTATATTATATACGAGACGGTTGGCTGTATGATAGCCACGGGAGGTCGGATATACGCGGTCACAGGAGGAAATTATTATCCATCTCCATCCGATCACTCGGATATTTTAATTTGAATAGCTAATTTTCTGTAAAACGTTAATAATAATAATAATTTGAAATTGGAATATAACAATCTAATGCCAACGGTTTACCTACACGAACATACGACGCAAACGTTTCCAATTATCTACGTCACTGAAGATACATAACTTTGTGAATATCATATACTACATTGTTCTGCATTTAGTACACGGCTATCGAAATAAAATGTTTTAATCTCTAGATTGCATACTTGAATTTTTTTTTCATTGGGAAATACATTTTTTTGTTAAAAAAAAAAAACCGTCTAGCGTTTAATAGTCATATATATTTGTATAGACAATGAGAGACATTTTTAGTATCTAAACGCTTCGCTTGCAAAAAATATAAATATTCACATCGGCAAACTGTAAAACCGGATTTTTATCAAAGGTGATTAAATATTTTCATATACATCTATAGACTACCGGCGGAGGAAGCTAAGTCGTTTATTGTATACCTATTAAATCTATCCGCGCGCGTTGTATTATTATTTTACGAGTGTTGGAAATTAATTATCAACTGGTTTTTTAGTTCAAAAACCCAATAAAACCGCACACGAAATTATATTTGCACAGCGATAAAGCGTTATTGTAAAAAAGTGTACAAATATGTGCAGCGCTTCAGGTATATACGCTGTGATATTCTATGACCGCCGAGTATAAATTCCATAACTCACGCTTGACGGTTTATCGTACTTACGTCGGGGGAATGTTCGCGAAATGCCGAGCACATACACCTGGATAATATGATATTAATGTAAATTAATCATTTTATCAATGAGTGGGCGTGGTGATAATAATTCTGATAAAATTATTCCGAGTAACTAACTATGTATTGAAAATATTATACTTGCACGTATAGTGTGTATTATATACATACACATAAATAGACTGCTATTTGTGCGTTATGATATACATAGGTAGGTAATAGTGACAATGTACGACCAGTCTATATATTCTTGAAAATATACGAATTTATAATTTAATATTATAATATCGTGTATAAATATAATAATATAGGACATGGGTATTATGCTAAACCATCGCGTGGTCCATAACTTTGTCGTTGAGATGTTTTTTGATTCTGTTCCAAATGGTAAACGAACGCGCGGCGACTGTTGTATTATATACGATTATGCAAATGTACGCTTTAATAATAACTATTCGCAATTAAAAAACGGCAGAAGGAGAAGAAGAAGAAAAAGAAGACGGAGAATTTAGTAAAATGGTTTGACGTATTGGCAACGAGATGGTCTGCGGGGGATAGAAAAAAAAAATCGGAATCCAATGCCAAATGCACGTGGTATAATAACATACGATAAACGACTGTTTAGATTTGTATTATCGTATTAGTACCGCTTCGTCTAGGAACGACAAGTAGGAACGTAGGTATATATTATTATGATTATTATTATGGCAAAAGTGAAATTTTGTGTAGTATTAAATTACTGTTGACAAGCAATTAACAATAATACGCACTATATTTCATTGCTATTGACCTCGTAGAACATAATATATATAGTATAGCAGACATATTTTCTTAAACAATTTACATTAGAAATGAAGATTTCCAAGAGAGACGAACAAAACGACCAAAACTCGTTATGATATTCTACTCTTAAGTCACCGTTATGTAGGTATAAGTACCTATATATGCTTACGAATATAATACTTATAAGTCATAACGTTTTATTTTTACTGTCGCATATGCGTTAAAAACATCGTTTGGTAGTTTCTATACTGTGCCGAAGTCGTGAACGAGTGTGTTCGCACTTACAGCACACAAATATAGATTCAAATAGTTCAATTATTTTCGAAGAATTTATAATAATACATAATTAAGGTTAAAAGTGTTTTTAGCGGTTTAGTGTTAATTTAAATTTGTTATCCGGCCATAAATTATATTACTTTTATACTCGTAAGTGTACATTATACACCAACAGGCAACAACCTGCTGGACTAAAACTGTAAATAAGTATAAACAAATGATATTTCGATTATGTATTATAATTTTATTTTAACTAAAATATTCAATATATCCATATTTTCAGAGTCTTGCAAATAATAACAAATGGATTGAAGAACTGTAAGATTAATATAAAATTTATGTTTAATCGCATTTCTACTATATCTCTTTGTATAAAATATAAAGTTAATTATAATAATTGTTGACATTTGAAATCATTTAAAATATATTCATAGTAACATTTTATAGACTAAAAATTGACAATATACAAATATTACATGTCTGTTAAAGATAATTATTATTTTGATTTTATTATATCATAATGACTTTATTTAGCATAAATATTTAATAATTAGATAATCGCGCTTAAGTATCTGTAATAATAATAATAGTGAAGTACTGAAATGATAATCATGATATCTGCAGTATATATTTGAAGATAAAAAATAATAAAAATACTATGAAAATAATAATATTATATGAAAGGATTATTTGTTAAGTTAAAATAATAACGGATTGATGAGTATTAGTGAGTAAAAGTGAATGGGAAGGTGGCGAAGAGGAATAGAAAGTGAAGATACATTAAATTATATTTATTTGTTCAAATGTAATAGCTTATTTGACCAGCATCATAATCTGTTATTATATTTCTGATTTCATACTTTAAATTCTATACAATGCATACAAATCCACTACCATTTTTAATTAATTAAACGCATTTTTACAACGTTTTTGTGGGAATTGGTATTCATGACTTTTATAAAATCGAGGTAGAAACTAGAAAGATTCCTATAACAACATTTAATATTCATAGCAATTAATTTTTTTGCAGCCGCTTGTTTTGATTATTTACGATTGTTTATATAAAATATTATAACCTTATAACCATGTACACCTTAGATTTCTATAAAGTTTTGTACAATTTATTCAATTCCCAATTACAGCACGAATAAGTGTTATGTAATACTTACATCGCCAGCACATATTATAATACAAATTTTTTTTTTATTTCGTCACCTACATGCATTTCTACCATTTTCAATATCAATTTATTATTTTAATTATTATTCATCAAACCATCCTCACTAATTAATTCATCGTTATTTATAATATTGCAAAAAACTAGAATTATTGCAAAACCCAATATATATATATTGTGTTGTGTGTAGCTTATGTTATTATGAACCTGCTATATCAGTATAAGTTATATATTATTATACTATATGAATCTATTCAAAACATACGTTTTAAAAACTGAGCTCACGACGCGCAGCGACAGCATTGGTGAAATTTAGCGGTTCGTTTATTTTGAATAGCACACTCCGGGAGAATGAGCAATTAATTATTCTGTGATAAATCATCTTATGACATAACTTCCATGATGATGTGCCAGATGGATTTAGCAAACCAGTCAATGATATACCTATACGCCGTACTTATATTGTTTTACCTCACAACGTCCTAATCGTTTCTTCGCGTTGATATATGACTAAAATAAAACTATTACTCAACACTATTCTCACTATCAATAGAAATTCTTCATTACAGTCATTACTCATTAGTTCATTACCATTAATTTGCAATGGTTTAATAAATTAAAACTCCATTGAACTAATTACGGTTGTTAATTTATAATGTGTATGTGTATTGTGTATGATAGTATCTAACTAGTTGTGGAATGCGTAAGAACAGTTTTATAAATTTCTTATAGTCTTAGATTTAACGTACCAAACTATTTATGCAAGGCCAGTCTTTTAAGAACCCTCAATATTTCGGTGATTCCACCGAAAAAGTAATATCTTCTCTGTAATTCATAAGACAAATTTATCGAATTGCAAATCGCAAGGCTTTATATTATAATTTATAACACAAATTTCATCACCCCAGAGTGTCTATTAAACGTATTTATCTACCAGAGCTATAATATAGCTATTTTTTTTATCGTATATATTTTGACAGTCGCGAAGGAACGCAAAACGGATGTACAATGATGATAAATGTTAAATAATACTAACCAGTAGGGGGTTTTACACTACAGCTTCTACCCAAGTATATAAACATTTATATTTCCGATAAAACGAAATGGTTCGAAATGCGCTAGTCAATAATTAAGCTCAGCATAATATATACAAAAAAAAGTCTACTCGAATATCATATATATGGACTTAAAGTAATATAGGCACTATCTGTTAAATAATAATAATATTATATGATTAAAATAATTTTAATACCTCCCATCAACACATGAGCTGACTGACCCTCCTCCCAATCAAAGTCAAACTCACGAGATTTATACTGCCAGGTACTGCACTGTCATCTGCGTTTTATTTCGGACGTACGCGCACATCTTACAACTTTTTTATTTTCTACGATCGGAAAAGATGCGACTCCGCCTGCAACATTATAATATAATATGCACCTGCCAAACCACATTCACTTATTAATTTATTATTATATAAGACACAAACATGACATTGAAGAATAGCTATACACTATACAGTATACTGCACGATGCATTGACGAGTCGCGACGAGCCACCGATAGAATAGTTGATTTTCCTTGCGGAATCCTGCACAACCGATAAAATTAAACTCTATAAGCTTAAAATGTACGATATCAACCGTTTAATTAATTTGATTCTATATTATGCGTACATCTAACTAAAATCATAAATATGAAAATATGATATATATATTGATATTATATATTAATTAGTAATTATACCAGTGTGTGCAGCGATTGATCGCGATTTCTTCGTAGAAATCATGCAAATATCGCGATGTCCATCGTCATTTATATTTATCAATTATAATATTATTACCTGCATTGTTTCAGGAACAACGGACGCCGTAGACCGATTGAAGGATATTATAATTATGTCGTATACCTACATTACGATTGTCCTCTGCGAGTCGATCGCGATCAGGAGACACGTCTGTCCGACGGGCGGTGGAGGACATCTTCCTCACACATCAACCACGATCATTCGAGTAGATTATACGGGTGCCCGAGAATTGGGCCACGACTAATCTTCTTTCAAAAAGGTATACAGTTGTTGGGCCACTTCTGTTTTACATATTTAATAATAGGTAAGCCTGGTTATTGGGCCACTATTTTCAACAACTTTTATTGTTGTATCCATTGGGCCACCATTTTGATTTTAAATTTTAATAAATAATATTTAATATAATACGTTACACATAAATTGCTATAATACCTAACACTTGAGTTCACGCGAAACTTTATTCCAAGCGATCGCGTGCATTATCAAAAAGTAAAACATTATCTAATATTAAATGATATAGAATTATATAAAAGAGGCCGACACCCAATAAAATGGATTAAAATAGCCAAAAGTGTAATTTACAAAGATTATTAAACATCGCGCGCGATCGATCGTTTAGTTGATCGCAAAATATACTATTCACGTTTAGTATTACAATATAATTCGGTTAATTAACAACATGTTCAGATGATATTTTTGACAACTACACTTGTGGTTGTGACGATGCTACGTATTTTTCCTCCACATTTGTATGCGTTACGGTTCGAATCTATAACTTGAACTACAAAATAAATGTTGTCAAATCTTTTCATTCGCATTTCAAAAATAATTTTTATATGTTCCTTCAAAATTTTTATAATTTTTTTAATGTTTTATTGGAAGTTCAATCAGAAGTTTATATTAAAATTAAAACCGTAAGAACAGTAAAAGCTATAAAACGAACTTTGTTTCGAAAAAATTATGTTTTCAATAACATTAAAACGTACGAAGAAGGAGAAAAAACGGGATTTGAACTAATAAAATTTGTGTCATATTGCTTAAAAATATAATTGTATTCTTATATATCACAAAAAAATATTTATAATTATTTGACTGATTGTATGTACCTCGTTTTATATTAAATTCGTTAAATCTATATGAAATAATTTTAAAAAAATTGTATTTTTATATATTAGAAAAATAAATAGTTAATAAACGTTATATAAATAGGTACTATTGTATATTCCTATATTATACATTTACGGCCCAATTTCCGAATACACTTTAAAAACATAGATTTGATTTATGGTCCAATCTCCAGATAGTATAAAAGGTAAACAAAATATAAATATTATTTTTTTTTTCAGATCAATAAAATATGGCCCAATTACCGATCGCCCGATTATACGCCTGAAGTTGACGTAATGAGACTTTCAACGGAGATAATATAATTTTACATTTTTTGTTATTATTTATTCACAGTGGTCGCAAGCGCCAAGCAGTCAGTATAATATATAGTATAATGGATACCTGTACACACGTGGATAGTTGTAGCCTACAACTAATGTTTTTAACCTTTGGAATGATAATTAAATTACGTTTTTTGCAACAATATTTTTATGAAAAATATAGTGTGATGAATCCTGTCAATTATCTACCATCATAACTATATATACGTTTATTTGTATACCCATATTGCAATAGGTATAAACGACTCGAAGTTTTCGAATCTTTCGTGTTTAATAATTTGAAGCATTGAAAAAAATAAAAAATAATAAAATCAATCCAGTGACACACATCATTTTTAAATATAAGATCAACGTAATCATTTTGGTATGACATTGGTTTACAAAAAATAATAAGTCAACTGAAAGCTCGTCTTCGCGGAATTACTAAAAAGAGAAATTGGCAGTTTTTAAAACGAAACAAATTCGTCTTTTTAAACTTAGAAAAGAAGGCCAACCACTTATGAGGACCGGAAAGAGTGAGGCTGGGAATAGCTGAGAGACGCGTCATTTGTAGCGCTCAGTGAACTACCCCGATACTGCCCCTGCATCAGGTAAATTACTAATAATTGGAATATTATAAATAATATTATGCGCTACCTATTAAATTGTGCCTTGGGTATTAAATAGTTATGAAATACACGGCCGGCTGACGGCTACAGCACATTAAAATATTTATGCATAACAATATATAGGTTGTTGCTACAGCGGTCCGGATTTCTCAAAAATTAGCACGTGATCACACTTTGCATTATATTACTCGTATATAGGTTTAGCGGCGTATGTATGTATGTATGTATGCCATCCATAATTGCCGACTGAACATGGTTTGAAACTATTTAGTGAGTGTTATATAATTCCGTTAATATTATTACGACGACGTCGTTATGTTATGGGTTCGACAATAAAATCGAACATAATTATTATAATAATATATGTAACGTTCACATAATAACATCGGTCGACCACAATCGACAAATATTATTATTATACATTATAAGTGTACGCGATTTCGTGTACGTTATTTTCGCACTATTTTGCAGATGAAAGTAATAGATAATAATAATAATATTCTTGTTATTTTTTTTTTATATATATATATACCATACCCTATAAACTGTTTGTCAAGCTTGTAATAACCGTAACGTCCACAAACGCGTTCTTATCGAGACACATCGGTTTTAGCGTTTATTTTGAACCATATTACTTATATTCTCGGTTGTTTGAGTTCCTGCTCGTATGCAAATCGATATTTCATTTGTGTGTCATCAATTTTTCGAAATTCTGTCAGACTTAGATCGTGTTTCAACAATTTAAGATAACATTATGACGTCCATGGTTTAAGAATTTGATATGATATATCAATCAAAACCATATTATCAATAAAAATTCAAAAATTTAGCCATTCCATTTCGTATGAAAGAATTATTATAATATCTATATTTAAGTAAGTACTTTTGTACTTTATCCGATGTTTTAATTCTACACGCCGATTTCTCCTCAGTAGAACCCATTCGAGACGAAATACTCGTATAATTGCACTAGGCAAACATTATTGTTACACCTTATCCTGCAGCTATAATTATTTGTGCAAACCGACATGATTTTTTTTTTTACTATAAATCGAAAAATATTTACTTTCTGCAGTAGAAACATAATAAAATATTAAATAACTACATCGATGTACATTGTGCATAATATTATTATTACAATACTCCTCTCCTTCTCATAAAAATGTAGAAAAATTCATATATTTTGATTTTATGCTAATCCTTCACGTCCGAATTTCGGTGGACAAAACGTTTCCATAATATTAACCTCCTTAAAAGCTTAAATTTCGAGTATACGACTGGCATCACAAGCATATGATAATATAATGATATAGGTTCTATAATATTATTGTATCTTGTGAGTTGTGATTGTTGCAATTCCAAAACTTCAGCGGAGACTGGATCATCTTAAAAAATCGTTGATCTATATACGAGCATAAGTTTTTTTTTTCTTTTTGCACTGCTAAGTTGAATTTAGTCAGATTTTCAAACGGTAAACCGATTTCACTCAATATAGTAGTTGCTATAATAGAATATATTATTATTATGTACGTTTATAAATATATCACTCTACGCGTGCGACGTACAATAAGTTTCAAGTTTCTATACGAGTTTTTGTGCAAATAGCATTGGTTTGTTTACAAACTACGTCCCTACATGCCCGTTTGTATGTATTTTGTATGTTATTATTTTCTCAATAAAAACGGTCTGTCAAGTGTTTGACATTCTTTTAACGTTACCACACATCACGTTCGTCAAATACAATAACTAGATTATTATGAGCCACAGATAGATGAATATAGTATATAATGCATTAAATTTACTAAACATCACTGTACAGTATACAAATGTGATTGTAGATATTACGTTACCTATCGATTATCATTACTATTCCGACAAGCTAAATAGCTTTAGCATAATATTCAATTTACAATGTTTACCTCATTTCAAACTTAAACACGTATTACTAATTATAATAGCACTTAGTTAAAATTAAGAAATCCTTAATATTTTCAAGCTTTCTTAATAATTAACTTGATAATAGCAAAAATCAGAAAAACGAAAATATTTCGTCAGTTTTAAACACAACTTTCGTTTTTTTTTTTTTTTCTGTCGGAATTCAATAACTATAATAACCGAAGTTTTTAAATTTTAACATTTTTAACCAATTATTTAAATTAACTATTTTAGCTAAATATTTATAGACTTTTGAAATAATCACTTTTAGATTCTCAGCGGAACGATGAATGTATATTAATTTTATAACGATATATATGTATATTTATTTTTTTGTCTTAAAACATTTGTTTTTACCATAAAAATGTTCCGATTATCGGAGGTGATCTCTAATGGCAAGTTCGATCTAATTTACATTTGGGTGGGGAGGATGGTTTAAGTAGAAAATACTTTTTGAAATAATTTGCACAAATAATAACACAAATATTATAGCTTGATACAATTTTATTATTGTTATTAAAAGTATTATTTGTTAACGCCGCTTAGCAATAATAATAATAATTTAAGTACTATTAGATTAATAAAAATTTATATCTATAAAGAACAACATTTGTTCTGTTTCTGCGTCCACATACGCTCCATATAATATAATGTATTATTGTAATATGATTTATTTACGGTCACTTATGCATATTATACCCATAAGCGTGCGCAGATTTAAATTTCCGATCGAGCCTGGAACAATTAATGCCCCAATACTTGGACAGTGCCCCTAATTTTTTTTTTTTTTTTAACACATAATGACTTAAATTCTAATTGTAAATTAAAAACTGTGTAAATGTAATCAAGTTGTATGTGAACACAACATTAATTTCTGAACATATATTTTTGAAGTTAAAAATAAAATTATATAAATACAATTATGCATAAAAAGAAGAAAACACAACACCAAAAATTTTTTTTAAAAAACTCGGTTTCATGAACAAAAAATTGTATATACATAATATTTTATTATATAAACTTAATAATGTAATAATTTTAAATTAATTCTCCTGTTTCCCGTACTATTTTGAATTAGTCAATGACCATTTCAATATTAATACTAGATGTGTCAGTTTTGGTCCGGTAAACATTATAATAATAAACTGTTAAGTCGGTCTTGATGTATAATAGTACTCATTATAAGTTATTTTTTACTATTGTCAATTTAAAAAATACCCGTTCGCAGGAACAACTTTTAACCGGTATTAAACTGAATATATTCAATAGGTACAGTGAAAAATCCGTTATACGATTTCATATGATTATTTGCTTTCATATAATCTAGCCAAGAATTTATTGGTTCGTTATTAGTATATTAGTATCTGGTCGAAATTTTATTGTGCCCCCAAAAATATTCCAGTCAAGCCCCGCGCGCACCCCTATGACCATAACGTTCTTTGTTGGTCACCGGTCACCAAGAATCTTTGAGGATAGCGTGGCGGACGCGGAGCAAACGGTCGGCGGCCACTGCAGGTTTAATCCCTCGACACCGACCGTCGGAAAACTCTGTGGTTGACGTTCGGGAGCGATGTACGCCGCCTGTGAACGGGGTCGGTGGTCCCCTAGTTGACCGCTGTCCACATCGGTATTATAACCGCAAACGTGTAACAGCGCTGATTTTCCTCGTCGGTCAAAACTGATTACAAAAACACGACCTGTCGTCGTCATTTTTTTTCCTTTAAATTAATTATTATTATGATACGGGGCAACAGTACCTAATAAATTCTTATTGCTAATTTATTATAATAAGGATATGAGGATGTAACGTGCCTAAATAATAATATAATATACATTTATGTTAGGATAGTAGTTATTCATAAATTATTAAAACTATGTAGGGTACTTATAATTCCGTTTAAATAAATAATGAAACCCGTGTCTCTTTCTAAATAAAAATATGATTTAAATATAACATGTAATATATTATTTCCAAACGATTCGCCCATTTGTGAAGTGGATTATACCGTTAAATATACTTCAGCAGAATGCCAAAAATATGAAATAAACACTTTAACAGATAGAAAAAGTATTACAACCGGACCTATAATGAGATACAAATATAATACGTATCATTAACTTACTAAAGAAAACTAAATTATACAATTTAATTTAAGTTAAACGCATATTGTAAGTATATAAGATGTAATATGTAAATAAAATTTAAACTAATGGCCTTGGATTTCGATGTTATTTAGATAAATAAAAATATATAAATAAAAGATACATGTATATTGATCGTATTTTTATTTGAATGCCATAAACGCCGCAACAAGTCCACAAATGATAATAGAGAAAGAGGTCATTAAATGAACGGATGAAAACAATGGGAAAAAACCTAATGGCATATCGTTCCCGCGCGTTTGATATATTTTTAGTATTAAAAACACATCCAACATTTGGCGTAACAACAATTATCATGTCGACAATACTGCAGTGTATTTAAAACGTGTAATAATTTCTGTAACACGTGTAATGCAATACCACGATAACCCACTACTCGACAACTGTCTACAACTCATCTTGTGCGGGTATGCTGTTTGACCTTCAACGAGGGAGAGTACCTATACATCACTTGCGTTTCGCGCACATTGTCAAACGACGATGAGGGTCGACACGACTTTGAGGTCAGATTTCACCTAAACAGCGCGTTATCGGTTCGCGCGAAGACAGTGATAACCAAATGCAGACGACCGTTTAATAGAATCAGCCGTTCTCCATCGTCAAACGGAGGTGTGCTCGCCAGGGCTGAAGCCCGACTTAAATATCAATATCCACCGTGTGGCGTGTACGACGGCATATTTACGCGACACATAATAATAGGTTGGTGTGTTTCAGAGTTGTTGACCCAAAGTCAAATTATACACGTTCGTGCAAACTGCAAAGTATTAAAAACCAAATTATATAACACGAAGTTTCTGTTCAGAGTTCAGTATGTGTATTATGAAGTGAGAGTGTCGGCAGATTGTTGACGGCTGAGAATTCTAAAAACCAGAATTCTTCTTAATTTTTCATTATTATGATACAATGATATACTTACTGTGAAACTATTTGAAACATTTCTTCATAAACATTGGACTGCAGACTTTTATCGTAAAAATATACCAAGCCTTCGCTTTGCTTGTGTATCTAATTTAAGGTAAGAACACAAATAAATTATATCGTTATTAATATATTGTACTTGTATGCAGGTTAGGTTAGTGGTGAAGTGAATCGAAAATTTTCCAGAAACAAAGAAAATATATCAAAGACCCAACCACTACTATAGACGTAAAAAATAGTAGGAAGTGCATAACATAAATCGTTATAATCAATGCATGATAATACAACACAAATAATTATATTTCAGATCAGTACTGACTTACCTTTTGAGTATTATATTTACATTTTAAATTAAAGGACCCATCGTTTAAAAAAAAAATCTCAGAGGCAATCGCCTCTAAAATTATTGTTTACCACGTCACTGTTTGTATGATGTAGCAATTATGAGTAGGTACATGGTTCTAAATTTACAACAGTGTTGAACAGTTTTATTACATTTTATTAAACTTTTTAATGCATTTTTGCTTATTGTTTTTTTTTTCTAAGAGAGAGAGTTCCAATTCCCTACATATTCTTAGAAAAAAGAGTCCTGAAAATCACCAGATCTTGTTTTTAGTTGTGTTTTCTTTGTCCGTGTAGTTCGTCTAAAAGATTATATTTCATAGCTACAGCCTACAAGATCAATTATTGTGAAACAACATTTATAAATATTCAATACATTTTATCGAGAAACTATCACCTTTTTGCTTTCCAATTTAATCTTAAAGAATTATTATTAATATTTGCATAATATTATAATTACATAAGCTTCTTATAGAACAATAAAAAGTGACGCGTATGTAATAGTTGTGTTATGTTTCCGTTCATTGAATAGATAATTTTAAATAATCAATATTACAACTATAGTTCATTTAGTTTGTATTTACCTATTATAAATATACAGCAATTATTATAATTACATAATTTAAACTGCCTTATTAATTTAAAAATCCATTAAATTTAATTGAAACTAAAGGGATTTTAACATTTATTTTTAACTCGCACGCATATTCATTCCTTACACATGGTAATTTATAACGAATCCACACGCATTTGTTCACCTTGCAGTATAATAATTTTTTGTTTTAAATCATCGTAGTCTCTCTGCGGGTATTTAGTATTTACACATTCGACAATAATTAGTACGAGACTACGTATTATAGTTATGTAGATATACTTTAAACCAGTGGCTTTTAATTATGATAAATACTAAGATATATATAAACCGTGATTATATTAATATAATATAGCAAAAGGAATTCGTCGGATACTTAAAAATTCCATATAATTATGTTTGATAATAATTACAGTAATTTTTTGCAATACAAAAAACTTCCATAGATAAAAAGAGTATAATAATTAAAATAAGCCGTGTGATTAATATTTCACGTAAGGTTGACGTGTGATACTTTGTATAGCGCATATATTCATTTTGTTTCGAGGTAACAACTAATAACAATCATGTACAACATTTATTATTAAAGAATACATTTTAAATGTTTTTCCCTTTTAGTTATACATGTACTATGTATTTATTATTTTAATTATACACGACTTAAGTATAGTAGAAAAACAAGCACTATTATTATTGGTACACGTCCAATATGGATAAACTAATTTTTTTTTTTTAATTTACCTAAAAAAGGTACGTATAAGATATATGCTCAAAAATGTATAGTATTAATATTTTCAAACCTAAAATCTAATAATACCTATTTATATTTTAGTTTTATTCGAAAAAAAATTCTTTTCTATTTTCTAACGAGTCGTTTGCGTATATGTGTACGATAAACGCACTGACTAAAAAATTGGGAAATAATCCAAGCACTTGAAATTCGCTTAAGCGAAAATCATCAAACGAGTTGCCATCGGCCAACGCTTATATAAATTCAAATGTACAAGAGGGAATCGTTCAAATATCGTTAAATCGTCAGCGATTATAATACGATGCAACGGACGGTAATTGCAAACAAAAATTGTCAAGCTTCCATGTAAAAAAAAAAAAAATTTAAAAAAATAATAACCATGGTCGCGATAAGTATCGTATAATTGATCAAATTTGATAGATCGCTGAAAAATTGCGAATTCGTCGAGAGTAGCGCGCGACTTATAGTATGCAAAAACCTATTACACACATAAACACACACGCACACATAATACGATATGGCACTTTCTGCGGTGGGAGTTGGGCATCAAAAGAAGGAGATACGAGTGAGAGTGATAGGACGAGGAGAGGGGAGTGAAAGATCGTGCGTTGCTGCGGGAGGGAGGAGAGTGGGAGAGACCGATGACCACGCGAGCACGCTGTACGCGTACGGGGCAACAGCGGCAGCCGGAGCAGCAGCAACCGCGGAGACACGACAACGGCGGTGGCTATATAGCAGTAGGTTCGTCGAGAGAACACGACACGGACGAGCGCGACGCCCGGGGACTTCACATCGATATACATTTTGAACCGGCGGCACGGTCAGTAGTCATCGCGAGTTGACGACGAGTAGTGCTCGTCGAGTCCCCCTACAACTGTTTTGGATAAACACAAAATCGTCGACAGCAATAACTATAATATATATATATATATATATATTATATTTTATATCTGGCGTGTACGCGTCAAATATAAATCGTAACACTAAAGCGTCGATTTCAAGTCGGGGCTGCTGTCGAAATACGCGAATTATAAAGTGTCCGGAGACCAGTGAAAGCAGTCCACACCAGTCGTATCGCGTCGATCGCAAATTTTTATTTTTTATTTTTTAGACTCCGAACTTTTATCGTTTGAACGTTTTGGATCCTCGCCCGTGGACGTGACACAGACGCCGGTCGTGCGCGCGCGCCAAACCACCGAAATATTTAATTTTTTAGACAAAACTCTTCTCGTCCTCGTCGATATACTATCTTTATTCGCCGAGTCGCGCCGAAGTCCTGCGTGTTTTGTTTTTCGCGCCGACAACCAGGAAGACGACCGCGGTTCTTGCAATCGTTACAGATTTCGTTCCCGTTTCGCCGCAGCTACTGTCAAACGAGTAAGTACCTGCACACACATTACATCCATATGATTCGCACACAAACGATCCGAAACGTTTTTACCCGTATTTTTCCGTCTATTATATGAGCGCAGTCAGTATACTCGGCATATTATTAATGCGTGTATTTATGGTATAGCCGTATAGGTATATATTTATGATTTCGTCTGGATGGATTTCGAGCGAAATCGAAACCGATCGCAATATAATATCATACGATGTACATATTATACTAGTTTTCAGACGAGTTTTACGTAACAACAGTGTGGCGCAAAAGTTGTTGTTTCGAACGTATATAGAAAGGCGCGCGCAATGTTTTTTTTTTCCCCGTACGTGAAATATGAAAGTGAATTTACACGTGTACGTATACGTAAGCGCCGCCCGGCAAGCAACGCAGACGCTCATCTTGCACTCGACTTTTTCCTCCAAACTCCGTGCCCTCAGAAACGTATATGGCGTAGGTATATAATATTAATGATTAACTTTCTTCATCGAAGTATTCGTTAGGTTTATGCTGATTAATAATTTGTTGATATTTTAATAAAACCGTTTGTAGAGCTTTTAGTGAATAGAGAAGCGTTAAACCTTAGGGTTTTCATTAAGAAAAAACGTATCTCGGAGATACAGTATTGAACGTTATTAGAAGAGAGATCGAAAAAAGCTACTTGGCTGTAGAATGACCCCCACAGTACAAATTGTCTTTGGCGCAAAACCGCTAATCATTCACAACACGGTATATAAATATTTTGTTGATCAAATAGTGTTGTAACTAATTCATAAACCAAATCATCGTAATCTTTTATATTTTAACCCCACATCGGTTGATAAATAGTTGTTTTTTCTAATAGATCCGTGTACAACACTATAGAATTACCAGTGATTATAATAACACCCATAAGATTCCATTAAAACATCGAAATAGTTCCGACCCGCCGCCTAGTGTGTGCGTATATATAGGTACTGTTGTTCGTATCGACAAAAACCATTCGGAAGAAAGTAAACACGGTTGGTGAACAAGGAAATAATAATTTTTACGGGAGAAATATATTATAGTGTGGGAGAAAATATATCAACGGTCATTGTGGTCGGACAAAGCGGAGAAATCATATTTATATTTGGTAAAAAATAATAATAATAATAACAATATTTCGTAACGACTACTAAAAACGATAATGTCATGAGTGCGCTCGATAAAAAAAAACAATTACCACGATAATAGTAATGACGGCTGTAAACGTCGCCACCGTGTGTAACCATCTCTGGAGTTTGTCATTACTCATTAATTTCAGTTACGTACGTTTAAGTCTAATCTCGGGACTATATACTCGCACGATTCAGTGTAATCACCAGCCGTTAGTGTGTTTTCAGTTGGAAACAATTATCGAAGGGCTTTGTGGTCACTCCGATTATATTCTAAAGCCCTGCAGAAAACGCGAAAAAAACTCTTGCGAGGACGATTCGCCACTTCGTTTTGCGATGAAATCGACAACCGAATTTTCCAGACTGACGATTTATCATGCTCGGCACTCAGATCTTTTGTCGGCGGATCGAATTTCGCGTGACTCGTATTATCCACGCGTACGACAATAATAATATCATTTGCATACATACTACGCGTAGTGAGATATACTACACCACACGCATGGAAACGGCCGGTGAAAACGTTTCATCGGGAAAGTCGCATATATGGTCGGATTTTGTAGGTATATCGAAATCAGATGGGACGGGCAAATTTAATTATCTCCACCGAACTGCCGTTGCTGCTTTAATGCGTGTTTAAGCCACCGTCGCGCACAGAGGGAAAGTAAAACGGAATTATAATAATAATAAAAACGTAGGTTTTAGGTGTAGGTACACATACCTATATAGAGTTCAAATTTATCACACGCACAACCATTTCCTCGAGAAAATAAAAACAAACAATCGATGAGTGGAAAAAAACTAACTATTCATTTTGGGTATATATTAATATAATAATATAATAATATACAGATTATACATAATCACCGACGCGTCGTAGTTTTAACGGTTGATCGCCGATCCGCGATCATCCGGATTGAGTCACAGTCCGTACCTATTATGCCCCTATACATTGCATGTTATTATTATTATTATGATTTTCGTGTTTATGTAAAAATGCGAACGGCGCTGCACGTCAATTGGGCGTTATGAAATCTCACGAGCAAATATAGATAGGATTTTAAAAAACCGTTCGCTCTACGTCACCGTGTCCGAAAATTTCGCAACGCCTGTGTGCAGGAAGTCCCCGCGTTGAAATGTATACAAAATGTTATTATACTTCAGGTCCATAACGGGACGGGGGTATGATTCGAGAGGGAGGGGAGGGCGGCGTGCGATCACGACGACGACCGTTCACCTTGATCCAAATAATGTAATCGCACTGCAGCGGACATAATATTATTTTAGGTATATAATATAATGTGATACAGGTACATGCGGACATTCTTGTAAATTGCCGTGCGCTACCGATTTCGCAATAAATTTGGTGTTGTGTCCTACGAATTATTGTGCGATAATTGTTTTGGTGGCCGATTTGAAGAATTTGACACACACACATATAAATATATATATATATATGTATGCGTTATTATTGTGTCCAAGAAATAATCGAAAAATAATATAATATCCATTTTTATATAGGTATAGGTGTATATAATAATGTCCATGTCTATAAAAATTATTATTGATCTGTCTGTACATAAATAATATACTCATGTATCGGACCAACTGTTTTGACACACCATGTAAAATCCATTACCATTTATTGTATACTTTTAAAGCAACGGAATATTATATAATTTATGTTTGCGGCCGCGCAAGATCATTGCTCGTTGCGGTATATTGTGTCGCGTATATCATACAATACATATATATGCGTTTATAACAATATTATTGATACTGTGCAAAACGGATACGACGGTTAGTGTGCAATATTTTTAGAAAAAATTTTCGAAATTCTTTTATTACTTTTTTTGGCTTACAGCTCTCGATTACATAATTGCAAAACCGTATCGTCCGTCCCTGGACACTGTCCTCGAAAAATTAACGTCAAAATCACTCACAAAACAAACGTTATTATACCTATATATTGTATATATAATATCGCAGCTTTTATACAGTCAAATCAAAATAATTATTTTAATAAGGAATATAATAAACTATTCCGGACGAATGTTAAAAATATTATTATCGTCAACGTCAGACTATGTGACGGCGGCGGATGTAATGATTATGCGCTTACACAATGCGATTATTATTGTTATTATTATTATTATTATTATTATTATCATTATTATTATTATTATTATTATTATTATTATTATCATTGTATAATATTATGATAGATATCTGCGTGCACAGCCGTAGCTTAGACTTAACGAGAGCGGCCCCGGCCTGTTACCTACACACGCACATTTATTTATGTATTATTATATATTTATATACATATATATTTGTCGCGAAGGATTGTCGACTGCATAGAGCCGAACGCTGTCGTAATTTACAACCCAAATACCAAGCCAACCTTAGACCGCTGCCGTTGCGGATAAATACCGAATATCCACCCGGCGGTCACTCGAGTGTTACGCCGCTAAAACCAAAGGTTAGTTTGTCAAGCGCATTTACGCGAATCGACAGCGGTGTTATGTGATCTAATACTGCTGCGCCGGCCGTGTATCGGTCGGGCGCGCGGTCGAGCCGTAAACGCCGAAAACGAAGTAACGATTTTTACGATTTCGTGTAATAAAACGTACGGTATGTGATCAATTTAAACCCGCTATTGCACATTTGAATCCCTACCAACTCGTTACACTTTATGCTGTACCTACATTTTTTAAGTGCAAAACAAACACGAGCTCATTTTTCATCAACTTTTCCACATTCCTGGACATTTTGCAATGATTCCAATGTCTTTGTTCACAGTTCACTTCTTATTTTACACAACATTATTATTCGTCTGTATCATAATATGAGCTAAAACATAATATTATTCATAAAGAATACAAAACTTTTATTTCAAGTTTTCGATATTATTCAGCATTTCATTATTTTGCTATTGCGTTATTAAATGTGGTTTTGAAATGGAATTTGTCTTATTTTTTAGAGCATTAAAATCCGTGCCCTAATTATTATATAAGGTTATATTATTATTATTACATCGTGATGTCCGTGGCACGCGCCGTGTTATAACAGCAGTGACAACGCGGTGAACATTTTTATTCCATTTTGTCACGTTGCTGTTAATATTGTTTACTGTTTTTTTTTTTCATACTGCACATACTACGAGTAATTTCAAGCTACTGGGTGGGTGCAATCGTATAATTTAACGAGTGTAAAAAAAAATGTTTAATTAAATTGCAAATGCTTGTAAATAAAAACAAGAGATGCTTCTTCAATATATATTTCGATATTCATGCAATATCAACATTTTCACAACAAAAAAACCAACTCGCGACAATGTAACGCTTACCAACAAATACAAGTGCGAGGAGGGTGACAAAATAAAAGACGATTTATAAACATTGAAACTAAAGTTGTAACTATAATAGTAGATATTATTAAAGATTTTCAAAAATAAAATTTCATTTTTTGTAATAACGAATATTCAAAACAATCACGTCTTGTAAATAGTATTTGGGATCTATATAAAGACGGGTTTTCGACACAACACATGTTATCGTCCTAAACATATCGATAGTTATAATAAACGTACCGCAGTGGTGTAATCTACTCATTATGCAAAATCGATAGTGTCGTGAGCTTTGGCGAGGATAAAGTGGACAAAAAATTCTTTTGCGCCACCGCCAACGCCGCAGGTGTGGGTTTAACAATGTATGTGTCAACCGCGATGGTGTCCGGCGGCGTGGCAGCGATTTACAACAATAACAAATAATAATAACAACAATGTATTACCGGCGGACTTGTATTACTTCATAATAATGTTATTTGTATAGTTATTTTTTCGCGCGCTGTTGTGACCG